CACACACACACACACACACACACACACACACAGATATATTTAAATGCACACATAAGTAGGAACTGACATTCTGTGTCACCTCCACTAAAGACGAGGAGAAACAAATACTTTCTTTTGGGACAACATAGAGCATTCATGGAGAAGATAACAGATCTCATTAACTAAAGCCACAAGAAGATAAATGACACACAAATGCCTGTTATCACTAGAAGCGGAGTTAAATGGACTAGCTGTTCTTTTCCTTCTTTTCCTGGGTTGCTGATCGAGGATTGTGAGCTTTGGCATTTTTGGTGGTTGTCTTGTTTTTATGATTATTCTTGGTTCTTATTTCTGGCTATGAGTTTTGGATTATTCCTGTCATCTGTGCCTTTAGTTGGTTAGCAGTTATAGTTTCTCTTCATGTTCCCATTCTCTTCTCTTGGTCTTGTCTCCATGATTTGTCTTCTGTCCCTGTGTCAAACTTGTGTTTCTTAGTCTTGGTCTCAGTGCTACTTCGGTTTTATTCACTTGTCCTGTGTGTGGCATATTCAGTTTTGCTTCCCCTTTCTTGTTACTCCTGATTTGTCCCTGATGTGTTCCCAGCTGTCCCCACTTCCCTAACAACCCTCCAATATTGTGTCCGAGTCTCCCTTTGATCTTTGTTCGTGTTCTCCCTGGATAGTGTGATTTCCTGTAGACAAATTTGGACTCATCAGCCCAAATCCCCGTTAGTTAACGCGGATCGCCTCGTGCGAGGGCTGTATGGCATCAACGCGTTGGCGCGGTTAGCTCGTTAATGCGTTGATGCATTAACGAGCGTCATCTGGACCAAGTACCCGTCGCCTTTGCCAATGTTGGTCCCCTACCAAGCCTCCAGAGGTGTTCCATTGACTCCACCTTCACCGATCCCCGGTGTGTCCGGTACAGCCATCTGATGGGGTCTGTCAACTCCACTGCCTATGTGGACCTCCAACCCAGCTTAAGGGAGTCTGTCACTCTAATCACCTTACAGCCATCTGAGAGCTTCCTTCGATGCTGTCCTCCATCCAAGCCACCGGAGAGGCTCTGCTGCAGTCGCTGGAATCCAGTCTTTGCCACCATTGTCAGCCTCCAGTCATGTCGCTCAAAGGTTTCTGACACCACAGTTGGCGTCCAATAAATCATCGCCAGAGTAAAAAATAGCCTCCTGCCATATAACTGGATTTGCCACATCTCCTCAAACACTGTCACCCATGATGCCCCCTCAATTCCTTTCTAAATTGTTGGCCTCCAAGGCAGACCTCCTCAACGCCTGCCTGCATTGAGGAGGTCTGCCTGTAGACCTTGCCTTATGGCCAAACCAGCCACTCAAGCTGCTGCAGCCTTTCAGACTAACCTCTTGGCCAGGCCAACTCCCTGGCCTCATTATCTGCTTTGTTTAGATCTGCTTTTGGTTCTGTTACTGTTCGCATTGTCCCTCATGGCTGTGTCGTCCCTTGCACGTCCCTTTGCAGTATGAATGTAACAGCAAGATAATCGACTTCTGCCGCAGTAGACTTTAGATAGCTGCTTTGTACTGTTTTGGCACATGGTATTGAAAAGTGTAACAGTAGAGGAATTAT